CTGCCCGGTTTGTGTGGGCGACAGCTTGGTTGCTTGGTACTCAACACAGAGTCTAACACATTCTAAAGGACAGGTGATCGCCACCTGGTTTATAGCAGCAGTTTTCCTTAAATGACCAGTTATGTGCCTTACCCAAGCCGAATCTCTCCTCCTTTTTCGTCGAGTAACTTTCATTCATATCTAGGTCCTGTAAGTAGGCCATGGTTTCGCATTACTTATTTACAAAGATCGCAACCTTCCTGGGTTAAAGAATGTAAGTGTAATGTTATTCCGCTATTGTACGGACCGGTTAAAGTCCTTCGAAAGCAACTCCTACGCAGAATTGGCCACCCAACGTAAGCCCAATGGGCACCTACACAGCAAGAAGGCGACATGATTCGCCTATTCAGATAAGTTATCTTTTAATTCTTGAACGTGCCCTCTACGCGAGAATTCGCCAGCGCGTCTTTCGACAGGCAGTATTGAGGCGCTCCTGTGTAGTCGGTGCTTGCACTAATTAACCGCTGTCGACACCGCACTGACAACTGTGTCAATCACTGCTAGGCGCGATGTTCTGGGCTGATTGCTTTTAAGATGATGGCAGCACCAACCGTGCATGCTTGGTTATGCTAATGAAGCAAAAAGAGATTCACGTGTCATCTTTATAGTCACAGAATGAGAAAAGAATGGCATCTCCTCCGAAATCGCTGCCTACAGTATACGCGCCCCTTTCCCTGTGCTGTGCTTAAGGTGCACGTACAGACTCGAGGAATACGAGATGCTGAAGCATGACGAAAATAATCCATGGAGAAGGGGAACAAAGGGACAAAGGACAGACACAAATCTCCAAACACTGCTAGGTGACTGGTGAGCGACCGAAAAAATCGTTTTCGTTAATGCTGAAGCATTCACGAAAAATAGAAAGCTAGTGCTAGAGGCGTGACAACTCATGATCTTTCCCGCCGTTTCTTCCTGTCAGCCGCTATAGTTACTGTAACTTATGTTTCAGAGTTCATGGTTCAAAATACATTTCCAACGAGTAATGAAAGGTAAAATCCAGTATAACGCATTAAGTTAATGCAACGGGCTTATTCTCAGGCCTGGTAACAAATAGTACACGTGCGCTTTTACTGTTAAATGTCGTGGCAAGCAACGGTGTTTTCTTACGCTTTTACTTAATGCAAACTTGTCAAGACATGCTACGCTGTGTGATAAGATGGAGGCAAAGCGCACTATTTGGACTGACCCGAAAGTGACGAGGCACGAAGCGTAGGCGTAGTGTGTGATCTCCATTGTCTTTGGAATTCCCGTGGTGCCGGAGGAGTAGCACAGTGCTGCAATCTCGTTCTCTGGGTCTGCGACGCACACATCTTGAAAGTTGATCGCTGGTATTCCAGAAAACTTTGACACCGACGTGAAACCCGGCACATCTCCGACGACGAAGAGACTCTGGATATTGAAGAGAACGCGTAACTTGTAATTTCGCATCGCAAATTATACCATCCCCAGCATTCCTGGACATGGTCTCCTTGCACCCTCTCGGCTATTCTCAGCAAAACACAGTGAAATAATAATTTCATTCAAACTACTGCAGAAATCCTTAAGTTCCCCGGGATATCTATAGAGGGCACTAATACGATCTTATTTAATACCTACTTGAACCTCAGGATGGTATACTTTTTATTCCTGGACCCGATCCAATATTGTTGCATTGGGTACTATGGGCCACTTTGACAAAGTTTTAAATTTCTTCTCACCGAAACAAAGAATCGTAAAGTTCCAGAGGAATATAACAGCTACCGACTCATACCGCACACCTCAGTTAGAATTTCGGTATTTTAATTAATACTTTTTATTTATTGAAACTTTCAAATTCGGCCCGCTTTTTGCCCCCGTAAAGTTTGCACTCCGCCGTGCACCAAGGAGCTTGCGGCCAAGCTCCCTTTACGTAGACTTATCGAAAAAAAGATTTGTACGATGCGCTTGTGACAGCATATTGACTAAGAACGTGGCGGTTGTAATATGACTATCTAATAATTAGATGTTTACAATCAAAATTTGTGCCCTGGATTTCAAATGTAAGCAGTTATTCTGTAGGGTCAGAAAAACATGCATTGTATAAATTTTGCTTTGAGTTTGCCTGTGTACGTAAAGTTTTAGCTCGGTTACAGACACAAACTGAACAAAATTCTCTCAAACGTGTATAACTAGAAATATACCTAGAACGGCGCGCCGCTGGCCGTTCGATTGTGTGTCTTTTTATCCATCTTATTTTATTTATACATATATACGCGTATAAATAAAGAATACAGCGACGACGACGTTGAGAGGATGACACGCCGGGTGACGGCGATGTCTCAATCTGAGCCCTGGTTCCTCAAGAGCGGCAGCTTCTACTTTGACTAGGCTACCTCCTTGGAGCCTGATTCTTGGACCCCAGTGAGCAACAGCGCCATCATGTTCCTGGTGCTCCTTCATGCACCGATCGAACGGCGTGCCAGATCCCCATGGCTCGCTCCTGACCCGCCCAACCCGCCTCCACGAAATCTGGACTCCTGCGAACCAGACATCCATTCTCCCCAATACCAACAATCTATGTCGTCGTCATCATGCATGTATATACTCATCCCATTATCACGTTCACTAGACGCGGCACCTCGGGCCTCCATGGTACGGGCCTTTCCGCGGTGCCGCGGCTTTCCAGGGCCAAATAAATAAAGACTGAAAACTAATAGGGAATTCCACTGGTCGTTTTGGAGCGCGCCTGGATCGACTTTTCTGGAGCGAGCCCATTTCACTGGGCGATCGGGATCGAGACCGACATGTTTCACTGGTCGTTTTGGATTAGCTCCCGCTCCAGATCTCGATCTGGATCCAAGAAAAGTCGCTCCGACGATTTCGGGGGTCTCAATCGGAAGCCAGCCCGTCCAGCCCTCGGCGCACACACGTGACTTCCTTTCTCGTGGGGCATCTCGCCTGATCTCGCCCATCTCGCCTTAGAAGAAGAAGAAGCGCGTCGTGGGCTGGGCTCCTAGACTGTCTCGACATCAGAAGAATTCGTAATGGCCGCTTGCTTACCCCTTGGCTCGACAGCCGGTTTGTTTTCTAGGAAGGAGAAGAGAGGGTATTTGCCGCGCTACGGGCATTCCGACAATCTTTGCTAGAAGCGCCTGAGCCATTCCTGCCGCTCGTGCATCAAACGCGTGTTAGCGCCGCGATTGCGAAAACGTCTACGAAACGACCGCGGCGGCCTCGGAAAGGGGATTCCCGGGCAGTTGAATGACGGGAAGGCATCCGCCGATCCCGGAGCAGTGGTCATGTTCCACAGGGGATCCGTAGGCGGCGCGACCCCGTTAGGATAGTGTGCTCCAGCCCGGATCTGGTCAACTGATCCCGGCGCGCTCCGAAACGCCCAGTGGATTTCGCCATAAAAGAAAGAACAATAGTGTTGCCCCGTTTAGAGGATACAAATTCCAAAACTACACCATACTAGTGGCGCACATCACTGAAATAACATACGCAATACAGAAAATAGCAGATTGTCTCTTGAACTCAAAACGACAAAATACACATAATTGGGGAGTTTTTTTTTTTTGTTTCTAAATGCCAAATTCAGAAACCTTAACTAAACTGTTTTGCTGAAACTCGGGGTATATCGTGTGCATCATTTCGAAAAGTATCAAACGAAAACACCACGCAACACATTTGACGTTTTTTCACACCTCCAGACACTGGCTTGCACTTGCGCACCGACCCCCGGCGTAGCATAGCGCGTAGTCTTGTAATCTCTGTGACTGATGATGATGATAGCTTATTTGCAAAAAAAAAAAAGAAGACTCGGGGGGGGGGGTTTTCTCTCCGTCAGGGCTGGATTCGGCACTGTAGGCGTTCTGTTAAATGCAAATTAGCGAAGTGTAATGTATTCCCCCTAGTAAAGTATTTGGCCAGACGCAAACGGTGAAAAGGGTGGGAGGCCGGAGAAATGCACAGGAGAGGAGGTTCAGATAGCCGGTCGCGTGCTTCGAATTCTCCGTTTGTCTTACTCTAGGGTGCCTACATGTCTGTCTGTCTGAGGGTGAAGACACCAATTGTTGTCCTTAATGTGCCAGCGCGTGACGCTCTCGCGCACTCTGTGCGTGACTTGGGCGGTAAAATGGCGTCTATGCATTAGCCAAAGCTACGGGCTGGAGCTGAGTGACACCAGATTGCGCGCGCTCTAAAATGCGTAAAAAAAACGATTGGGCGGGAAAATGGCTGAGATGTCACCACTCAAGCAGAAGCGCGCGTGTGTATGGAGGAACTCTATCTTGCTCAAGATGTATACGCCACGTGTCGTGAGAATCAGGAACTAAAACAGCGTGTCTCAGAAAGCTGGCCATGTGGTGATTATTATCTCGGAAGCAATTCTTCATGTGTCCAAGTAGCCACAACAATCTTTTTTACGGCTACCGCAGAAGAAAAGGAAGTCCTAAATTTCAAATATAAGTAGCTCTAGCCAGAAAGTATATAACTTAAATACCTAATAAATACCCGCAACTGATCTCAGTTAAAAGTCGCCACTCACCATCGATATTTAGGGCTTAGAGCACAAATTTTTCAATTCGTGTTGCCTACAAGGGTTAGATGGGTTGATTCTCCGACGCATGTGTTTGGGGGGAGCCTCGTAAACCTTATGTATTGGCATATAGCATAAAAAAAACGCCACCTGAAGACCATGATACCCTATATTTCTTGACAGGTGGTGTGGTGCCACCTGGTAAATGCTATTTCAGGCATGAGGCCATAGTCGAGATCAATGTGGCATCATGGGCGGCTCTTCAGCCTTACGAAGACATCGACAAGTGGAACTAGTAGTTACGCACACCAATCACCCTCGCGCTTCTGCAGATATTATTTTTTCGGTATACTAAATTTTTTAACAATAAACACTGAGCGCAAAGATAGCGAAAAATGATTAAAATCTACAGGGTGTTTCCCGGTAGTGTGTTGGTGCGTTCAAATGACCTTGCATACCGATGTCTTAACGCAGTGGTTTTCATCCATCGATGTTCCGCGGACGCTTTGAGGATCGGAGGAGATGATGGAGGACCCCGTTCGTGGTGAGGGGAAGGGAAAGGTATAGGTTAATTATGATAATGATTTAATAAATGGATATAACTAAGGGCTGGTGTGAAGTAGACTTCTCTCATTGACATAGCGACGAGAAAACTCACCGGAAAATTGAAATGTTTCTTCCCAATCGGATTAAATACAACTTTTATTGCCGGGCTTGGCTGACGAGGCAGGGTTTCGCGGACCCCTGGAGTGCCTTCGCGGACCCCAAAGGGTCCGCAGACCCTCTTTTGGGAACCGCTTTTTAACAGATACTTAGCACGGAGCTATAACTAGATGGCTAATATATTTGAGAAAAATGTGAAGGGACGGTTTCCCTTGGTAAAAATGGCATTCATGGTTTCTACGAACGAAGCTGAGCTGGCGCGAAATTTTTAAATGGTATGCTGAGACCCAATAGCGTTTACGTTAGCAGACTGAAATGAGTAAAATGTAAGGCATGTTTAACTGTTTTTTTTTTCACCCACCCTCTTTCTTGTGACAAGAAACGCCACAATTGCTGAAACGGATTTTGATTCATTTTTCGAAAATAAAAATACTATGTTCACTGCAGAGCTTGAAGAACACGGAGAGTGCCAGCCACCTCATTGTGACTTCGCAGCCAATTCGATTGCCGCTTTAAGCGATGCTAACGTAGGAGAAAGAACTTCGAAGAAATGATTGCGAACACTGTAAGCAACGCCATGCACTTCATACGCCGCCAATGTCTATAGCTTAACATTTTAGCATAAAACAAAATAAAAAAAGAACACAACTTGCTCATTTTTTTAAAATGCTAATCTGCTATTCTGTCACATTGAAACACTAAATGTATCACATTGGTACACTCATGAATCACATAGTTACTCTATACGCCGTTCCGTGTGGCAAATCCAAATGGTGTTCTACTCACTGTCGGCTTAAAACCCACAGGCCACTGTTTATTATGTTCGTGCTTCTTGCATCATTTCTTGTTGTCCGGCCCTCTTATCGCCTGATGCCAAAATAGGATTGGCTGCCCTGTTATTACAATAAGTTTCTCTGGACTCGAGGCGCCCTCCGTTATTTACGCTGCCAATGGCCATAGCTTAGTGAAGTGTGGGCTTTAAGTATCAGTATTAACCAGTTCAGGCTATGAGCCTGAACACGGTATTTTTAATACCGACGAACACCTCCTAGATAAGAAAGCCTAAGTGTTGAAAATGTCTGCGTACCCAAAGAAGGTCACCTTAGACCAGACATTGGACACGACTGCGGCGTCAGCGTTCGGCTAAGAGTCGTGCTCTTACTGATTGGACACGAGGTCCAGCCAAACGCAGACGCCCTTGTCGTGTCCAATCTCTGGCCTCCGGTGGCCTTCTTTAGTGAGACAGAAAAATTAAGCACTTAGGCTTTGTTATCTGGGACATGTTCTGCCAAATCAATTGCACGAACGCTCGTGCTCGTAACCCCGTTGGGTGAAACTGTTAGGGCGAAATAGTGAGATTATTGTGAAATTGTAATTAAATCATGCATCTTATTCTCGCAAAACTTTTTTTACTATATCAGCTTCAACTTTAGCATGATACTTGACCACGAAGGAAGAAAGAACCGGAGAGGACAAACAGCTCACTACCAACGGTGTTTTAGTGTAAACTTCATCCTTGCGCGTTCGCTTCTTCATTTAGAGTCCAATACAGAGCACGATAAACCTATTACCTAAATAACCCTATTGCACTAATAAAGATCACTAGTGATATTCACAGTTACACAAAATATACAAAACAATTACGCATAATTCCCTCAGAATTATATTTCTTGAACTAACCCGCCACAAGCTCGTGCTGTTGTTGTTCAGGGTGTGAAATTTCGTGGCAATTCTCTCTCTTTTTTTTTGTGAATGGTTATTGATGGGGTGCTGACGCAATCTTCTCCGTGTTCCTCGATAGCGAGCACCTCGAGCATCTAACATGCATGAGGATTGCTGTTACTGAAAATAATGGTTGTGCCGTTAAAAGCTGCACTGCACTACAATGTCCTGCAATGAGCTGCCAGATCAACCAATCAATCAATCAATCAATCGAAGAGCTTTATTTTGTTTCCCAAACAGCTTTAGGGGACTTTTTTAGGGTTACACTTAACATAATATAGCAGTACTGAACTAAACAAATTACACGTCATTCCTCACCATTATAGTATTCTTGAACTTTTTAAAATGTATAAAAAAGTCCGCGTGAGGTTTAAGTAACTTGTACATTAGCATCATCGGTGTCAGCAGAAAACTGGACTCTAGATAAGGTGCCCTGCCGCTGTTCCCCTAAGAGACGCTGCATGCTCTCGGGCTCTGTCGTTCTCTCCTGTCCTTTCTTTTTTTGTGTTATAGTATTATTCTAAATTTTAAGCTGATATGTTTACAAGTATGTACCAAAAAAACTCAGCTCTTAACCGTTAAAATTTTAAAGTGTGACGCAGTATCGCTTTACGTACCATTAAATGCCATGGGGTTATTTCAGACAAGATTGACCAAAGGGTGGTTGGTTGAAACGTTTAAATCAACTGATGTTTTTATATGCCATTGTCTAGCGTCTGCTATTAACGAATCCACACGTAGATTTGACCAGAAAGAAATTGGAGACGGGAAAAATCGCAACGCATGAAGAGGTGGACAGTTGCATTAACGCGCACTGATGGAGGGATCACGTTTTGAAGTTAATTTTTCAAAGCCTGCACTTAGCAGTGACCCATACGAGATGTGACTCTGAGTTCCAGTTTCAGGAAACTAACACGAATATTTCATATATTTCTATTCAAATGAGGTAACTCACGACTATAGAAATCCGTCACGCAGTAAAAGTGGGGAGAAACTATATACAGCATTTTACATACAGCGACAAAAATGCATCATATTAGAAACTAGTGATTCGAGAAAAGATGATACGGTGTGAAGTTTTACTTTCCCGTATATTTTGTATTTAGAATAAAAGTAATAACTTTACTTTCACACACGAGAATAAAGCTACAATATTAAAATGATTTAGGTTAGCTATGTATTTCTGGGGACAAACCATTTCAGTTGAGAGGTCACACCGCGCCGGAATGTAAGAGCTTCGATACTCTCGGTGTACGAATAGACCGTGGCAAGCAGAAATATTTTATCCTGCGCGAAGGTAACGTTTCGTAATTCTCCTATGGTGACCAGATTAAGAACATTAGCAATTTTCAAGTAAAACAGTAGGCTAAATACCCCGCGAAACAATCTGTGATAAATACGATGTCCCTGCATTCAATACGAGCGGTCCTTGGGGAATCAAATTCGGCACTATACGCTAAGGCTTTCCTCGCTGTACCTATTTAATAAAGTTTCTTCTAACCAGATCCTACAGTCAGTGCTAAATATATGTCACAGGTTCCTTCTGTTGATAACTTGCACAGTCGCCACGGGCGCCAAGACTGCATGCCAGGAGAGGCGCGCACCATCAGCCACTCTTCCTTTTTTGTTGACGATACCGAATAACGTAATTTTCGTCTAGATACTCAAGGTGCACGCCTTTCAGTTTCTGGGATAGAACGCTCACCATTGTCCTGGCGTCTCAATTGCGTTTATTGAATACTCTCTGTTTGTTAAGCGTGGCCTGGTGCTTCAGGACTCCTTCAACTGCGTCACATGCATTCGTCTCATGTCCAGATGCAGAAAATAACCACTGGGCTTGTGGGCAATCGTACTGTGCAAACTGGCGAAGCTGGTAGCGATTCTTAGAATGACTGGCTGCCCCGTCGCTCCCTTACGTCACGTGAGAGTACACCGCAACATTGTCTTCAACCCACTCTTTCTCTTTTTCTAGAGCCAAACACGTGTGAGCGGCGTCATCACACAGGCCCACTGATGATAGCAAAGCTGTTTGCCGATTTTCTTGTCGTCACTACACATGCGAATATTGCATGCACTGCTTTTCATCGTAAATCGCGTTAACTTGCATTTGTCAGATACGGTTGTGAAATGTCCAACCTTCAACCGTTACTTGAAAGACTTTTAGGAAAGTCTCAGAATACCGTGTTTTTTTGTTTTTTTTTACAAGGTGACTGCTATGTTCTAAGCACAATCTCTTCATCCTCTGGGATAGGAAGTTCCTCGAGTTTAAGGGACTTACATTTGGGGCAGAGCTCACAGTCTCCTTAAATACACTGACCTGTTAGTAGGTCGCAAAGAAATACTAAGTTCATTTCACCAGTGTTGAATGTTGAACCTGTGACCTTTTCTAGAGTGACAGTGTAAAAGTAATATTGGCGCAGTCAACACAAGCGCACACTTCCCGGTGTGGAATACATTTTACCCATCTAGGGCGCAAGAAATAAAATTTTGTTAGCCGAACGCCGGAATCAGGATGCTTGTCTTTGTATACCCGAAAGGCCTCTCGGATTGAGCGTGTCAGGAAGCGCTTTGACACGAACGCTTTCTCTCCGTCGAGCATGACAGAGATCATGTCCTTCTGATTGGGACCTTGGCGCAAACATTGTAGCTCGTCCTTCGTGAAGTTCTCTAGGGCAGCAGAAACATTTCTCAGGGCTCACCTAGCACCTCGTGTAAGGATCCGGCTCTTACGACACACCATGGTTCTCCTTACCTAGAGCGTAAACACTGTCTCCATGTTAACCTTTCCTAGGTCAACATGGCGGCAGTGTTTACGCTTTATTGTATTTAGGCGGGGCTCTAGCATTTGGGGATTCTGCTGTCTGTCGGTGTGCCCCTTTGTGCCTGATATTACCACCCATGACGCTAGCGAGTGGGATGGCGACAGAAATGACTGCTCAGTAAACAGGCATCGGCGTCCATATTTTGCTCGTTGAAGCGAACCCCATTATCCTTGACAGCGAGCGGGGAAATGCGAAAAAAATATTGTATTGGCCGTTTTGCCATTACTAGCGACGAGTGTTGTCTGCTACTTCCATCAACTGTTGCGCCATAATCGTGATCTTCGCGAGGATATGATCGTCGCTAGCCACAGAAAAATATCACACAGAAAGGGAATGCTTGAATATGCTTTTATTCTAGATAAGTCAGGGATATATATAAGAGAGAGAAAGAAAGAGAGAGGAGAGACAGATGGAGATAGAGGGGAAGGAAGAGGAGCATGTAGTGTCGTTGGAAAATATAGTAAACAAAGTTGCCAGTAGCCGCTGGCTGCACAATCTTTTCTCGGATCACTAGTTCGTAATATGATAGCTCTTTGTATACAATAATTTCTCCTCACTTTTACTGTATGATCTATTTCTATGGTTATCAATGGCCTCATATGAATAAAAATATATAAAATATGTGTGTTAGTTTAATGAAACTGGAATTCAGAGTTACTTCTCGTATAGGGCAGTGCTAAGTGTAGGCTTCGAAAAAGGACCCTACTTTGGGGAGTTATATCTTCTTTCTCAATCAAATAATGCAGCATGTTTTTAATGGAAATGAATGCCGAAATACAGTATGACAGGGTACCCAAACTAAAAAAAAATCGATAGTGTTTTTTTATTTCCGTGTGAATGTTTTGTTGTTTGATTTTTTCCTCATGTTTGCCCATATATATCACGACTATGATATCACTCAGATATCTTATATATTTTTAAATAATAGCCATATGTAAGTAGGATAGTATCTGAAAAATATATGATGGTGATTAAATTATTTCTGAGATAAGGGCCTCCAAATTTTGCCATTTGTTGTTCGAGCAGGCATGCTTGGCAATTTTTAGAAAAATAGATATACTTTAAATAAATATTATTACTTCATATTACAAGCTAGCAGTACCCATAGTTTGTTCCTAAAAAGTATTAGGATTACCCTAATTCTATCGTTTTATTTATTTCCTTTCAAACGTGCCCCCCCCCCCCCCCCCCCATCAGTGCGCGTTAAAGCAACTGTCCACCTCTTCATGCCTTACGATTTTTCCTGTCCCGAATATTTCTTTTCTGATCAAAACTAAGTGTGGATTCGTTTATACCAGGCTCTATATACTGGCATATAAAAAATCAGTTGATATAAAATTGTTGACCAGCCACCCTTTGGTCGATCTTCTCTGAAATCACCCCATGCTCACTTTTGCTGCAAATCTTTATTTGTTATATTTTTGTCGTTCAGGTATTAAGCTTATCTATCCGCATTATTAACTGTATGATCTAAAACTCTTCAGGCGAAATATACTCTTGTACTGAACATCATTTAGCAGTAATAGCTTGTAATCAAGTCAAACCCCCGCCTACCTTGAACTTCACCTCCTTTTGAAGTTCCTTGATCTTAGGTGCACCTATCGCGTCTGTCAACACGTAGGTGGCCTCAGAATCTTGTGCCATGGACAGGAGCTCTCCTAGAATTAATACCAAGGAAACTCAGTAGTCGTACTTTGAAGAATGTCCATTTTTTGTGCAAATAGTACCAAGCAAAATGTCCAAGATTATTTCCTCTTAGCAGTTCAGATATTTCAAAAATATTGTTCTGAATGACCGTAATTACCATTCTGAGAGTTCACGTTCACGTAATCAGAATCTACAGTCCTTACTGTAGATTCTGTATACCCAAAACGCCGCTTTCTTTTAACAATATTGGGGGGGGGGGGGGGCATAATTTTTGTTTGGAGAGAAATTCAGGAATTGTCTTCTATTTCTGGCAATATATTTCAAGAATGCAATTTCATAGCTGACCTTGCCTGAATCCCGAAACTAGAATGTGGTAAATACCTTCATGTTTGCGATAACCTGACGTTTGGCGATCTTCACGAATAAAAAAAAAAGAAATATCGACAATCAAGAGTGCATTAATGTTTCCGTTTACTAAGGACCATCTTTAAACAATCTCTCTTAAACCCCCCATCATACATCTCGGCTAGAATTGACCATCCTTGTAAGATCGCCCGCTCACAATGCTTCACCCTCGCACACCAGAAGGCGCTCTTACCATCTGCGATTGTGGACTGGAATGACCTCCCCGAGAACCTCATCGGCATCACCGACAGTGGAAGATTTCGGGACGCCATCACCAACTACTTCATGTAAACCCACTCCCCTCTGTAACGCCACTTGTGGCCCTGAGGGTATTATAAATAAATAAATAAATAAATAAATAAATAAGTTCCAGTTTTAAAGAAGATGAAGTTTATTGGTCACATGTAAGACAGGTCTGCCTAAAGTTTGAAAGAGTGGGGTCGTAACTGGAGTTTCATACTGCAACATTTCTAGATACCTTCTGCTCCTGCTAACATCTGCCACCAACAAAAAAAATAGATTTCGCGTATTTTTTATTCACCAGAGCACAACCTTTTTCGCAGGAAACGTGTTTATTACCGGCTTTTCACCTCAACTCAATTGGTATGCTTCAACGAGTAACAGTTAAATTATTCTTAACTACAACACTTCAAATCAAATCAATCAATCAAATCAAATTTATTTGACACCACATCGTACAAGAATGGTGATGTCGGGAGCACAGACAAAAAGCCACTGGAATATGGCTTGACGAGGTCTGTGCCCCTGATTGATCTAATTAGCGACAGCGGCTATTATACAATAGTAAACAAGTAACAATCTATACAGCAGTTTGCAAAACAGAACTTAGCATATGTCAGGCCAACAATGCAGTGAAAACAAAAACCGGAAAAACAAGGTCGAAAGAAATTGAGGCACACTCTTAGAAGTTATTGTTATTATTTTTCACACATTCCGGTTGGAAATGTCAGCACTCGTCTAATAATTTGTGTGCATTTACTTCATGCGAACTAATAATGTATAGTCCGATATCAAATAAACTAAGTGCCACTTAAAACACTTTCGCCCTTACGGTTTCATACCTGTCGATTTTTCGGGCACTTTTGCATTTCCGTTTTTACCAGCTGCTGCATTTGTGTTTCACATCCATATAACAATTATAAAAAAAAAGAATTGCTTTTTTTTTTTTGCGGGCGAAGACGAAATAAGTGTAATGTCACTGAGGCCATAAATACTGTGGTATTGGGTTTGAACCTACAAAAAAGGCACGAATAAACACGACCAAGTAACGCGGAATTTCTTGATCGTGCAGAAGTTTTATTCCTATTTTTGTACTCCTTTGTTTCCACCAAGTAGCAGAATGACGCTATAAGTCCTTTTCCGGTCTTAAAGGGACACTGACAGGGTATTTATGTTCGCCAAGGTTTTTATTTGTACATGACACATGACAGCCCTACTAGATTGAACACAATTTGTAGCTCGGAATTCGTTTTCTTTCCACACGAAAACCGCCGATCGAGATCGAACTCGCCGATTTGAGTTGCGCTCGCTCTCTTCTCCGAGGTCACGTGCCGTTTTCTATGGTTTAGACAGAGCCCCCAAAGATAATCAAAGTCATGGTTTCATCGAAGGCACACACTGAATACTTAACATATACAGAAAATTCGATACCAGTTTGTTGTGTCTTTTAAAAAAGCTGCAATTTTCTTGGTTGAAAAATAAAAAGTTGCACAGCCACGTGACTTCCGCCAACGCTCTTACTCCACAGTCCAGTTTCGGTTTTGTTTTCGAGCAGTTGCGTTTTTTTACTTTATTAAAATTATATCTGACACAGTAGCAAAATATAGATTGGGTAATTTTTTGACACTATGTTAAATCGCCAGTCAAAAAATTGTAATAAAGTTTGTAGGGTGTCGGTGTCCCTTTAAATGCGGACAGATACTTTACGTTTTCATGTTTTCCTGCATGGGTGGTTTCATTTGAAATTATACACACCTGTCGGAATGGGTATTTTGATTGAACCAAAAAAAAAAAATATACGTAGTAGCTCCTCTTCCGTAATAGAGAAAGCCGTTCTCCAGAAGTTAACAAAAATGTATTTCCCTCTACAAAAAGGTCTAAGAGGAGCAAGAAAAAATGTAATTTCGGCTGCTTGATTTTTTCACCCAGTTTCGTCGTTTGTAATAAATAAGTAAGGCAATAAAAATACGCACAGTATATTTTATATAAATATTTAATGTTCGGCCTATTTCTTAGTATAATCAACATTTTATGCATAATTCGTATTATAGGACTAAAAGAATGGTAAACATACATTTTACGTCTTTTGTGACATACAAAGATTCTTGTATCTTAGGATTTTTCTCAAGTATTGCTCACTAAATACTGCACAACCTGCAGTCCTCAAAATTGGCTATCGACTGGCACTACTTCAGGCTTTTTTGTTCCGCAAAGCAATTAACATGTGTAAATTTCATAAACAAAATCAAGTTTAGCCACAAGTGGAGCCCACTTTATTAAAAAAGAAGTAATATTCTTTTTTTTATATTATTACGAACGACGTCACCTATCGTGTGGCGTAATGGGGGTTACCCCCTTTTTTTTCTCTAGAAGTGACAAAGTGGTTTGAGGAAGGGGAGGGGGAGAATTCGAGGTGGCAACTGACGATGGGGTGAGTAAAGAGGAGACGAGCGTGTTATACGATCGCTTATGACTATGAAGTAAGCACTCGAAAAGACGGATTCCTTCCAAGATGGAGACGAGGAAGGGCGTGTGTAGAAGCTGCTCCGAAAAAATTGCTGGTAAGCGTCAATTCCTCGCGTGTTCGGGTGGATGCAAGGCAAAATTCCACTGCGATTGTATTAGAGTAGGCCTTGAGGAGTATAACATTTTCATGGCCTCAGGAAAAAGCTCGTACAAATGCAACGCCTGCACCCGGCGGAACCGCAGTGACGATAAGCCTAATCGTGAAGAAACGTCAGACGTGTCGGGGTCTGAAACGGACAGCGAATCAGCCAGTGAAACCACCCTGAAGTTAAACACCTCATGCTCGCCGAAGTACCAGGAATCTTTACTGCAAAAGATAAACGTCAAGTTAGACGTGCATATCGCCGAAATGAAATGCTTAAAAGCGGATAATAACCATCTACGTTCCGAAGTCACCGAGTTACGGAAGCAACTTTCCAAGCTATAGGGCCTGACCTGAATCAACCGAGCTTGAGCTACAGCGCTGCCGCATCATCGGGACGGAATCAGGTCGCACACAAAACAACGAATTTGAGACTGAATGGGGAAGGCCCAAATCGGGACGTCGCCAGCATGGATCCTGTGTCGACGAAGCAAAGTTCTGACAGCAAAGGAAACGACGAAGACCGTGCCACGTGTAGTGTGAAATATCTTCAACAGACTTCTATGCCATTGGTGACCGACGACGAAGGCTACACTACAGTGGGACCAAGACGACGAAAGAAGCCTTCAGTTGGAACATCGAAATCATCCAAGGTGACCATTGTGCCTCGTCCCCTTTTTCAAAAGGCGTTGTTTGTAACTTGATTTGGCCCCGAGACAACAGTTGAGGATGTTAATTCGCTTCTTGAACCCGTCCTACGGGGGAAAACTGTTAGCTGCACGAAGCTGAAAACAACATTTCCCTCCTACTCTTCTTTTCATGTTTCGGTCGAACAAGACCTTTTTGAAACCATTAATATCCCAGACATTTGGCCCGAGGGGTGTATCATTCACCAGTTTTTTTGGAAAGCTTGATATGACGCGAACGTCACTACCAAATAGTACTGATGACGAAACAACAGATTAAATGCTATTATCTGAACACTCGCGGTTTGAGGACGAAAGTAGATGACTGTATGACAACTATTGTTTCCACTAATTTTGACATGTTCTGTTCAACTGAAACTTGGCTATTGAAAGAAATTTCCAGCACCAGTTACTTTCCAACATCATACAGTGTTTATCGAAGGGACAGGGATTACGGTGCAACCGGAAAGAAATTTGGCGGGGGGGGGGGGGGGGTGTTGACAGCCGTGCGGGATAACATTAAATCATGCAGAAGGGTAGATTTGGAAACCTATGCAGAGTGCGTATGGGTTGAATTATTAACACGCGATGGGTTTAATTACCTCGTCGGAAACTATTATTTTCCTCCGCTCTCGGATTCGAGTGTGTTCGTAAACCATTTACAAAAGCTTGAACAGCAAATTGATTTTTCGGAATTTAAAGTACATATGTACGGCGATTTTAATCTACCAGGAGTGAACTGGTCGACCGGCATAGGCAGTAGTGGAAATAATCAAACGGCGGTAAAAGTGTCACGTCTAGTAGATTTCATTAATTTTAATGGTCTAACTCAGCATAACCAGTTCACGAACACGGCCGGGAATGTTCTTGATCTTTTTCTTTCAAACTGCCCTATGGACAGTGTCATGCCAGTTAGCGATACTCTTGTGAAACCTGACGTTTTTCACCCGCCCTTCATCGTATGTTTTTCTTTGCCGGTGAGGTCTCGTGACAGACAAAATTTAACCAGATATGACTATCCTAATAGTGATTATTTAGGTTTATATACGTTCCTTCGTGATAATAACTGGTC